CCCGGCCCCCGCCTCCCCCGTGCCTGCATCTTCTCGGTGGGGGCAGATGACTGAGCAAGGAGCAGTGGTCTCCAGTCGCTGCAAGGGAAGTTGAGGTTGGATATTAGGAAAAACTTTTTCACTAGGAGGGTGGTGAAGCCCTGGAACGGGTTATTTAGAGAGGTAAAATCTCCATCCTTGGAGGTTTTTAAGACCCCGCTTGGCTGGGATGATGTAGTTGGGGCTGGTCCTGCTTTGAGCAGGGGGTCGGACTAGATGTGACCCCCTGAGGTCCCTTCCAGCCTGAATTTTCTCTGCTTCTGTCTCCCATGTGTCCCCGAGCGAAAACCAGGGGTGTTTTGGGGGGAAAAATGGCCCTGAAAGATATGCTTGATGGAGTCAAGAGGGGCCTGTGTGGATGAGGACTTGACCTCCCCACGAGAGTGACCACGTCGATAAGGAAAGAGAGCGGGGAGTCTTTAAGGGAGCCGCAGGAGCTTGGGGGTCCGTGCCCTGCGGCTCGTGGCTGGAGCGGCGAACACAAAAGGGCTTCTAAAAGGCTCCCTGCCCTTTCCCCCGTCCGCGCTGGCTGCCAGGTCAGCGATGCACCCGGTGATAATCTCAGCCCGGCCTCACAGAGGTCCACCCGAGCCAGGGCTGTAATGGCAGCTGGGTGGCTCGTGCAAGAGGAGGAAGAGCTTCCACGGAGATGTGGTCAGTGCCACGGGCGCTTGCCGCTGGACGCAGAGCTGCAGGAAGGGCGAAGCAAGCTGATGCCACCCATGTGCACTAGATGAGGGCGCAGCAGTGGAGCAAGAGAAGGCAGGCAGGGCTGGCAGGTGGAGGGGAAGAAGGCACGTGCAGTTGGGCTGTCACGTCCCAGCCTCCAGGCAGGTGAGGACGATGCTAAGTCACACCTTGGAAGGCACCGCGGCTTCTGCTGCTGCGGTCCAGGTGCGCGGAGCGGGTCGGTGCTTGGGACATCCTGCGGCCAAGCTGGGAAGGACACGTGCCCTCCGCGCATGGGAGGTGCAGAACTGCCCTTACTTTTTATTGTGCGTGGGGCAGCAAGGCAGCAGGAGGCTCTGGAAGGGGACTCGTGGCCTGTCTCTGCCCTGCAGGGCACTGCCCAGCCCACAGCAAAATGCTGCCACCCCCGCTGCTCGCCCAGGGGACTCGTGCCAGTGCTTTGCACCAGATGATTGTGCTTGTTGCTCACACAGGCCTTTGCACGCTCACTTGCCCACAGGGACACTGCATGGGGCAGGTCAAAGGTGCTCCCCGGGCCGAGTCCTGACCCCCTTGCTGTGTTCATTCTCTGCAAGGAGGGAGTCCGTAGGCTGTGGGGGTACAGCAGCTCACGCCCTATCCCCTGCCAAGCATGCAAACCCACTGCCTGCCTTTGCAGCCGTGCATGCACACGCACCCCCCCCCGCTTGCATGCCCACGCACGCCTGCCTGAAGCTGGCGCGCGCTTTGCCGATGACAACTCCCAGGACGTGCCGGCGCTGCTGCTGGCTCCCATCTGCTGCGCCAGGCTCTCAGCTGCTGCACGGCTCCGCGCTGTCACTCAGGACATTCGTTCCAAAGGCAGCGGGAGCACAGGCAGCTCGGGTCTGGCGCGCGCTCCCGTCTCAGGCCAGGGCAGGGTGAAGGGCAGCCAGAGAGCTCGCAGCCTATGTCCCATGGCTTGTCTCCTATAGTGCCCTGTGGCACTGGCATGGCCATTCTCGCCCAGAGACCCGGACCGAAACCTCAGGGATCTCCACTGCTGCAGAAGGATGATGCTCCCGGCCACGTGCCTCCGACCCCCATCTCTCCGCGGCACAGACCAGGCTCCAGGCCGGGGCAAAGGACGACCTTGCTGCAGCTGAGCCAACCGATCGGCCCCACTGGGCAGCCGCCGGGGATCTGCTGCAGGCTCTAGCGTGGCTCTGCAGCTCTTGCCCCATCCACGCTGCGTGGACCCAGGAGGAGCATGGCAGCCGGGATCCGGTCTTCCCTGCGGCGGAGCAGTTGCTGTCTGCTTTAGCCAGCGCAGCAGAGCTCCCGGCAGGCCGCTGACAGCTCTGGGTGCAGAAAGAGCAGAGAACGGCTCTCGCATCTCGCAAGGAGACCACGGGGCTTGCTCCCTCCGGCCAAGGGGGACGAGAGAAACGGCCGGGCACCGTGGAATAAAGCCATCCAGGCTGCCTGGGCGAGGGGCAGCTGGGCTGGCCGTGAGACCCCGGCCTCTCCCAGCTCCGAGGGCTCCATCGGCACGGACCGCCTGCGTTGTATCATGGTGACGGCAGCGGGGTGGCAGCTGACAGCCCAGCACATGGCGGGGGATTGATTTTGCAGCCATGGAAGCAGAGGGAAAAACACGCTGCGAAAGCCATCACCCAGCTCCTGCAAAACCCACCAGCTTGGGTCCGACCCGGCCCCGTTCGCCTTGCCGCGCTTGGCGCTGCCTCCTGACTTCCACCCTGTCGGGGGGCAGCGATTTTAAACAATTTCGTTTTTTTCAACAAAACCCCAAAACACAACCCCCTTCGCCCCCTGCAGTTTTCAGTATTTTGGGGGGTCCGAACCAGGCCCTTCCCACATCCAGGTATTCTCTGCGTCGTTTTCCACAAGCGGTGTTAAAACACGCAGTGGCCTCGACCGCAGCAAGGCGGGGGCGTCTGGCTCCTCCCCGGCTCCCGTGCAAACCCTGTCCCTTGTCTGAGGCAGGACGGGCACACTGTTGCCTGTCCTGACTGGGACTGCAGGTTGGTAGTAATGCAGCCGCATGCATGGTCCAGGGTCGAGGCGATGCTCGGGTGCGTGTCCTGTTGCCTCCAGGAGTGCCGTGGCAGCAAGGGACTGGCATTGCAGAGTCCTGAAGCTGGAAGGGATCTCGTGGGCCATCTGGGCCAGGCTGGATGAGACAGCAAGGTCTTTGGGGGAGCCCTGATAACGCTCGGCTCTGCATCGGGAAGGCCTGCAGCTCCATGCACCTCCCGGGGGAGCTGGGAGTGCAGCTCTCAGCTCCCCCTTTGCCCTATTCCCTGCACTTCTCCAGGGACCTGCCAGGGCCAGGGCATGCTGCTGACTGCAGGGACCTTCCTCAGAGTGGCGTTGGGTGCTGTCTGCATTGGCTGGGGACCGAGCCGTGCCAGTGCACTTGCTGGGACTCAGACCTGGAGGGTCCCCGGGCCAGAGCGATGCTGCGTTGGGGCCAGGAAGGGATTTCCCCCTGCTCAGATTGGTATGGACGGGGGCTTTGCCTTCCTCTGCAGCCTCCACCTGGGATCACCCTGAGCGTGTATTAAAGACCTCTATACAAGCAGGACGTGACCCCCCTGCTTTACCAGGGGCAGGCTCGGGTGTGATGTCCGGTGCGGTGGCAGGGCCGACCGTTTGGTTTTGCTCCGAGGTTGGACAGTGGATGTGTCTGGGGTGGTTTGCACAGGGCTGGTCCTGCCTCCGGCAGGGGCTGGACTAGATATGACCTCCACCAGCCCCGCTGCTCTAGGATGTTAGGGTCAAGCAGGGGCTGCAGATGTGTCCTGTGCATGCAGCCACATCTGGGGTTCAGCACCGTGTCCTGCCACTGCCTCCTCTCGCGGGTCTCAGCCCCGTGCTCAGCCCCGGGCCGTGCTTACAAGGGGCTCACGAGCCGTTGAGGCGTCCGCCCTCCCCCTTGCCGGCCTCCCCATGCTGATTTATAACGGGGAGAGCCCGTGTGCCTTGGCCGGCGCTCAGCTGGGGATGGCGAGGAGAGGGCTGCCCCGCGCCCGAGACACCGGCCCTGGCGCCCGGCCAGCCCCTCTCCACACACGCAGCCCTTTGTCTGGGGGAGCCTTCGCCAGACATGGAAACGGACCCCAGCCTGAGCACCGAGGGGGGCCCCGTGAAGTCGGGGAGAGGGAGACAAGGCATCTACTGTCTGGGAAACTAATTAGCCTTCCTGGAACAGCGCGCGGCTGCACGCACGCCGGGTGCCTCGGGCCGGGGCTTGGGCTGGGCTCATCCTCTTGGGCCCTCTCATCGCCCCACCGAGGGGTCGGGGGGTCTTGTGCTGCCTCATTGCAGCCCCTCGGCAGCACCCAGCAGGTCGGTCCACGGAGCCGGCTGCATCTCCCGGCCGTGGTGGCCCCCGTGCGTGGATGCCGTGGCTCTGCTGCCATCTCGGGCTGCGGGCCCTGCGCCCGGGTGCAGCCTGCTCCCTCGCCTGCTGCAAAGCTCGTTAGCGGGGGCAAGAGGGAGCTCTGATAAGGAGCTGCCAGGGGGCCGCAGCACCCGGGGGTGCCTCGAGAGCCTTGCAGGGGTGCCGTGGTGCTAGGTGAGCAACCATGCTTCCCAAGATAAACCCAGAATCCAGCGGGTGAAAAACATCCCGACCTGCCGGGATCGATCTGAGCTCTGCACAGCAGAAAAATGACCCTGGCATTTCTCTGAAGATAAAAACTGAGCAAAGACTAGGAGCCGTTGTGTTTGGAGGTTGGCTTGAGTCTAAAAAGGTTAAGAACCAGTGATGTGGAACGAGGATGGGCCGTGTCCTTTGTACGCGATTCACCCAGACCGGGCCGTGCTTGGGAACCGTTTGCACCATGCCCCTGGCCCGTCGCTGCTGGAGAGAGCTTGAGCGAGCGTGGCTTCAGCTTCCTGCTGCAAGGGGCAGGGCTCCCGTGAAGTCGCTGCACCAGGCCTGATAGCATCTCACCGTTGATAAAAGCTCGGCTTTATTTAGCCTGGACAATGTCCTCGCGCAGGGTTCAATTAATCTCACGACAGTTGCGGCGGATTAAGGATGCCCGGTCGATGAGCGGCTGTCCTCTGGGCCAGGGCGGGCGTGCGCCCCCGAGCCATCCTGATCCTATAAAGGCAGCGAGCCGTCCAGGAGACCCGGGCGGCCTGGAGCTCGGGGCGCTAGCGGCAGGCTTGCCTTCTTTGGCTGCCCCGGGCCTCGGGCAGCGCCGTGCGGGCATGGGGCGCTGACGGATCAGCGCAGCTGCCGGCGCACTTGTGGCCACCCATCAAAGCCCGGCGCATCCTCCCTGGCAGAGGAGGGCGAGAGATGGAGCTGGCAGCAGCTGATCGAAGCGCCAGGTGCTCTCCCTGCCTGGCCTGTTTACTTCCCCCCATCAGACCCTGGGGAAACAGCAGCTCCTTCTCACCAGCCCTGCAGAGATGCTGAGAAAAAGGCTGCCCCTTGCCATCCCGCTGGGGTCATCCTGGGAGATCCCAGGGCACCGAGCCCTGGCTGCCTCGGTTGGGACCAGCAAGCACAACCAGCTTTGGGCAGCGTGGGGACGCGGGGCCAGGGCAGGGACGGTGCCGTCTAGGCGGTGGTAGCTAAGCAAGAGAAAGAGATAGTAAAATGGGGCCTTTCACCCCTTTGCTTTCTCTTCTCCATGCGGCAAGCCGGAAACTAGGAAATCTCAACCTTTGGAACCGGGTTCTGCTCCAAAACCGAACAGAGCCGCGGCCTCCAAAATTCCCCGAAGCATCCCTTTTTTGGGGTGGGGGGAGCATTATGTCATCCACCGAAATGCCCCAGTTTGATCACATCAAACTGAAACCCTTCGTTTCCACCCCAGCTTCTTGCTGGACTAACGTGGAGGAGCTGAAACGAGAGGCCAGAGCGTTCCCATCGGGGAAGCCCGGGCCGAGCGGTCTTGAAACGCTTCCTTCCACTTGGGAAAGCAAAGCTATGCGGCAGCAACATGTTACAGCCGAAAGTTCACATTTCAGCCGGACTCCAAGACACGGCGTCAGCCGACGGCGCATCATCCCCTTGGGAGGCTGCCAGGCATCCCCCATTCGGGAGCGTCACATTAGGGGCAGGAGATGGGGGAGGACGAGGAATATTACTGCCAGGGATCCCAAGAAGACCTGCCTGATGCATGCTGCTTTACCAAATGCTCCAGCTCCTGGAGTCTTGTGATGGCGTGAGCGTGTTTTACCCCCAAACTGGGGTTGGTCTGCTTGTTCCAGAGGAGAGCAGGAAAACGTTTGGTCCTGGTGACCCCAGAGGACTCAGAGGCTGCAAGGCAAAGAGAGGGAGCCCCACATTTCACATCATATAGATTGGGGGGTCCGGAGTCCTGGTTTTGGGGTGGCTTGGTGGCACGCTCGGGCGACGGGGGACTGCTCCAGTGCGTGTCTGCACCAGGCGCTCGGCGGTACGGATAACGCCAGGGCGATTTACAGCCTGTGAACAATCCTTGCCCGTCACTGCAATTACCGCAGCTCCGCGTGGCCTCCGTGGGAAAGGGCCGCGCATTCCAGCCGGCCGCCCCGGGGGGATTTGGCTTCCTTGAGAACTGGCAGGTGCCCAGATCGGCGTGGGGACGGGCTTTCAGCGAAGATCTCCCCCATCCTGCCGTCTGCATGCGTGACGTGTCTGTCAGCAGCCTGGCCCCACGTGTCGGGAGGAGGGAGGGGGTGCTTGCACTGCATATACCCCCAGATGCACGTCCCAGCAGAGGTGTGTGTGCATCGACTGATACAGCCTTTATGTGCACGGGAGGGCTCCAGCACAGCAGCCGTGCAGTCTTCCCATGGGGGGCATGCCTGCCTGGTCCAGTATCTCAGGGAGGGGGTGACGTGCCCCACGCTGCTGTGGGGGTGGGTGGTACATCTTATGGGCCTGGCTGACCGTGCTACGTGCCCAGGAGGGTGCAGGAGTGTGCGTGGCTGCGTGTCCCGGGATCTAGCTGAGCCCCGGTCTTGGATTGACCACAGGGGCAAGCTGCCACGCAGAGATCAGCTGGAGGGCTGAGCTCCAAAGGGCAGGGGCAGCTCCTGGGTGCAAGAGTGATGAGGGGGTGGGCATGGGCAGGGTCCCCGGGCTGGGACTCCTCCGCCTTGCCTTCACCGGCCCTGTTCTCTGCGGCTCTTTCCCCTTGCAGATAACGCAGAGAAGACGGCAGCCACGATGCCCGACTCACCGGCCGACGTGAAGACTCAGTCCAGAGCGACGCCACCCAACATGCCTCCTCCTCCGCCGGCCGTCACGCAGGGCGCCACGCGGCACCCCTCCTTCACGCCAAACACCAGTGAGTACCGCCGCGGGCTCCCGGGGTGTCGCAGGCAAAGCAGATGGGTTGCATGGGGGGCTCTGTGCCCTCCCCAGCTGGCAGGGTCTGGGGCAAGGCAGGAGCGCCCTGGGGAAGGAAAGCATCATTCCCAGGCCCTACCCCAGCTGGAGGGAAGCAGGGCACAGCTGGCATTGCACAGCTGGAAGAGCCAAACAAACACCTAAAGGCGGGCTCTGTGCCCACCCCCTGCCCACAGCTGGGCACGGCGCTTGCAACCCCCTCCTGCGGGCGGGTCATTATCCCCAGCCCAGACTGGGAACGGAGGCACAGAGCAGCTCCCCCAGGACCAGGTGGCAAAGAGGCCAGGAGTCCTGACAGCCGGCCAGCCCGCTCCTCCCCCCGGCCCAGAGTCTGGTGCCAATTCAACACTCCCTGGTACAAAAAGAAGTAGAGTTGGCTGGAAAACCAGGAAGACTTTGCTTGAAATGTATAGAAAGCATCTCGCTGTACCCGGGGGAGAGGGGGACGTGCCAGGCATCTGCTTGGGAAGCAGCCAGCAAGAGGCCGGCCATGTCGGCACCAGGTCACCGCCACGCTGGGCTGCAGCTGGCAGCTGGAGCTGTGCGTGGAGGGTGCTGGGCTGGGCACTGTCAGGGTAGCTCCAGGTCTGGGCCGCTGCTGGATGCCCGTTGCAGGCTCCGGGTGCTGCCTCAGCCCCCGTGTCCGGCGAGGGGGAAAGGGCCAGAGGACCCTGTCGGGGTCCTTGCGCTGCTAGGGATTGGGGGCAGGGGTGGATCTCAGCACCCCACTTTCTCCAAATGTTTCCCACCTCCTGCTTCTCGCTGGAGTGAGTGGCGTTGCCCCCTGGCTCCGCGCCGTGAATGCCGCGCGGTCCCTCTGCCACGGCAGAGACCCGTCGCCATCCAATGGATCCCGTGGTAGGTACAACGTGAGAGGGTGCTGAGCTCTCGTGGCTCCTGGCGGATGGGGACCCGCTCCGAATGGGCTGGACTGGTGTTGCTCAGCACCCGCGATCGGACTCGTGGGGGTTTTGCAGACCTCAGTGTGTCGGGTGCCCCCAGGGCCATGGGCTCCGTCCGTCTGTCTGCCCGCCAGCCTGGCTCGCAGCATGGGCAGCAGAGTCTGGCGATGGCTCCGGCCCATCCGGTGGGGCTGGGGCATGCGAAGGGCTTGGGGCAGGCAGGATGGGCACTCGTCGAGGGAGCACTGGGCTCTGGGCTGGGTTGTTTCAGGTAGGCTCCCTGCCTCAGTTTCCCTGCCCATAAACAACCCTTGCTGCCCGCAGTCTGCGGTGCCAGGGAGCTGCCAGTCGCCGTCCTTAGCAGGTTCCCCTCCCTGCAGGATGCATGTCAGAAGGGAAGGGAGAAGGCACCTGCCGCAGCCCCATCTTCGTGACGGCCCTGAGTCTGCAGGATGCCGACAGTGGCCCCATGCTCCCGTTGTGGAGGGTTTGCCTCATGTGGGGGCTGGGGTATGCCCTCTGTGCCCTGTGTCTGGACAAAGGGCCCTTCCTGGCCCGAGGCTTGATCTCTCCCTCCATCTCTGGCCTGTCGGGTTGGCGTCCCGCTGCCATGCTGCGAGGGGAAGGCAGGGCCGCAGGAGCTCCAGGTAGGGCCACAGGACGCCGGAGTGACCTCCCCTCCACGCCTGCTCCAGATGTTCCCGCATCTGCCAGCAGCGTCTGGCCATCAGGGAGCGGAGGGAGCCGCGCCGCTAATCCCGGCCCCGCACCAGCTGGGCTGCCTCTTCCTGCAGGCTTGGTGGCGTGCGCTTGCATGCACGTGTATGCACGTGTGCACACGTATACCAGGGGTGCCCCATCCGCACAGGCACCCGGCTTCTCTCCAGCTGCCGAGGCTCTGGGTATGCATTAGGTGCTGCTGTGGTGCAGGAGGGGGAGGATTTTGCACCGGGACTCGGCCCCCATAAGCAGCCCGGCTCCGGGGTTGCCCATCGTGGTGCGTGGCTCATGGGGCTGAGGGAGCCCCTGGCAGAGCCAGGCCCTTCTGGGTGTGTGCACTGCCCCTCCGGTCCCCGTGCTGGTCCCTGCTGTCCTGCCTCTATTCACAGCCCTAGGCAGCTCTCCCCTCCCCGTGCCTCAGTTTCCCTGCTGTTCAGCCCTGCATTGCAAGGCTCAGTGCGCGGAGCCTGGAGAAGCAGTGCCAGGTAGGGAGTGTGAGGGGCCCCAGCCGCTCGGCAAGTCACTTCAGGAGCCCCCTCCCCACTGCAGCTCGTGGCCTCGGCCACGCGGCCCCGGTCGGAGGTGCCGGGGCCGGCGCTGCGGAGCCCCCCGGGTGGCACCGTGGCCCCCTTGGGTCTCTCACGCTAGCGTGTGTTTTATTTTGCTTGCAGATCGAGAAGCCGGGCCCCCGACGTTTCTGCCCCGCGGCCGTTTTCAGGGTTGCTTGAAATGGTCGATGGTCTGTCTCTGTAAGTAAAAGGAAACACCCTCCCGTGAGAGACCCAGAGGCCCCAGGCAGCACCCCCACCTTCCCCAGGGAGGAGAAACCCCCTGCCCCTGTTCTGCCCTGACTCGGGGGCACAGCTTGCCCCCTGCCCGTGGCTGGAGAGGGTGCCACGGGGGTGCTTTCCCTGGTGCTGCCCCGGCTGAGCGGGGAGAGCCTGGGGGCACGGCGCTGGTGGGTGGCTCAGCTCTTCCATGCACACGCCAGCTGCTGCCCCCCTAGCAGCAGGGGTGTGGGGCATCCTGCAGCCCTACAGCTCAGCCCCCTGCCTGGGCATGGGACTCTGCAGGGCAAGGAGCTGGGAAAGCTGGGAAAATGCTTGCAAAGCCCCTAGCCCAGGGCCTCCTGGTACCCACCGGCATCTCGAGTCTTGTAGCCCCAGCTTTCCTGGCTGCTCCCTGCACATGCCCAGGGTCTCGGCGGTTCGCGGAGAGCAGCTATGGCCAGTCCAGGGCTGGAGGAGACCGGGGAGAGGGGATAATAAAACGAGGCCCGTTCCCCCAGCGTGGCCATCATGGGCCTGGGCGTAGATGGCAGTAAGGGAGATTGGGGCTGGACCTCTGTAAAGGTGCCGACGGGAGCAGGGTGCGGGGGAGCAGGTCCCTGCCAGCCCCCTCATCGAGGCTTCTCTGCCCGTCCCAGCGCCGCCGGCTTTCCCCGTCCCCGTGGGTCCAGGGATGTCCAAGAGGGACACGTGCGGAGTCTAACTTAGTAACGCACCTGTCGCTGGAATAAAAGCGCTTGTGGCCGGCCGGTTATTTTGGGACCCTCTTGAGCGAGCGGCTGGCGCTGCCCGGCGGGAGAACAAGGGGGAGACCGGCTGGGGAAACACAAAGGCAGGGCTCAGGCGCCTGGCACAGCGGGCAGGTTGGTAGCTCTTTCCAGCGGCGCAGAGTTCCCAGGACTGGGCCGGGCGCTGTGTGCCCGGCGGCTTCCCCGAGCCGGGGCGCGTGCATGCTGTGCCTTGCGGGCCCGCGTGAGAGTCGAGCTCTGGGGGTGGGCCATGTCGTGGAGCCGGTGAGCACGAACCCCTGTGATTTCCCCAGCCCCCGGCATTGTCTGGGCGGGGGGTTCCAGCTGCAGCGGGGCTCGGGGACCCTGTGCAGCAGCTGGGGGCGGCAGCATGGAGGATCCTGGAGTCTCGCGCCAGCCGCTGCCTCCGATGAGGGCTGTAAAGGTTGGGGCTGGGCCCCGTTTGGAAGCAGGTGCCCCTCCCTGCTGTGCGGGGTGCACGTGCAGCCAGTGTACGTGGGCTCTGCTTCCGCCTTGGCACCGGTCCCTTGGAAATGGTGTCTGTGGGCTGGCCTGAGCCACACGTCCGAGTTCAGCACCGGGCATGTTACCGTCTGCCCGTGCCAGGTCCACGGCTTGCGTTCTCTGGGGTTAACGCTCACCCCCTTCGTAGTCTTTGCAGAGACTTGGTTTCCTGGTGGAGCCGGGGGTGGGGGCGGGCTCTGAGAATGGGTCTCGTCCCGGTGTGCGTGGCATGGGGGGGTGCTCAGAGAGGTCTTGCTCTGGCGCTGCTTGCTGCGTGGAGGTGGGTGGCTCTGTGGGCCCCTGGCAGGACGGGACAGCCTGGGCAGTGGATTTATCAGATCATGGGTGTAAGTGAGGGTGTTCGCCGTGCATCACTGCTCACTTTGCCCCCAGCTGGCAACATGGTTTTGGGGGGCAGGTGAGATGCTCCCCATTAGCGCTGTGCCATCCCGGACTCCACCCATGCCTGCGGCGCCAGTGTCCTGCTGCAAGCAGCCTGCCCATTGCAGGGCCACAAAGCTGCCCCCAAACCCCCAGTGGCACAGAGCTCTGGTACACGGCACGCTGCCCTGGCTCCCGCTACTGGGAGGCAGCGCCGTGCGCTAGGATGTCCATGATCTAGGATGTCCACTGTCCCGCGGCCCTTCTCCACCGTCTGACCTCCTCGCCCTCCCTCTCGTTGCAGTAATGAACGGAAGCAGCCACTCCCCCACGGCCATCAACGGAGCACCCTCGACCCCCAACGGGTTCAGCAACGGGCCGGCCACCTCCTCCACGGCCTCCCTGTCCAACCATCAGCTGCCCCCGGCCTGCGGCGCCCGCCAGCTCAGCAAGCTCAAGCGCTTCCTGACCACCCTGCAGCAGTTCGGCAACGACATCTCCCCGGAGATCGGGGAGCGCGTCCGCACCCTGGTGCTGGGGCTGGTGGTACGTGGCGGTCCCTCCCGCAGGGGGCTCGGACCCACTGCTGGGCTCTGGGGCTCTCATGACGTAGGGGGAAATGCCACCCATGGGCTGCCTTCAAATTTGGGCGATGCCCTTGGGGGATGGACAGCCAGTGGGAGTCTTCCAGTGCTCCACTGTTGTGCCTCATTGGCTGAATGTGCTGTCACTCAAAGATTTTGGAGTAACTCTTATAAAGGGAGTCCTCCCCATCCACACGTCCTGGGTAGATGGGTGCAAGGGGGATGGCCTGGATGCAGCCAGCTCCGAGCCGGGTGCGAATGCCGCCTGGATGCCCTCCAGCGCCAACATGCAAAACCCAGGCAGCTTCGTGCTCACTCCCACTGGGGAGGAAAATCCTCCCTTTCCCCTTCAGCAGCGTTGTGGGGTGCAGACACATCCCCTTGCTCCCAGGAAAAGTTCCCAGGTTGAAAGTGGAGGGTGCTAGCTGCCTCGGCCAGCTGGGAGAAAATCACAAGGAGAGGTGTTGGCTTGGGAGCTCCCCCTTCTTCCCCCTGTGATTGTGCAAAAGGAAACAGGGCACCCTCACATGGAAGCACACTCATGGGAAAACATGACCTATGGGCTGCCTTCCCCGCAGCCCACAAAGATCATGGAAGGAGCTGGCCAGGGACCATATGGCCGTGCCCGCCCAGGCAGCAGGATAGCGGGGTCACGGACAAGAGAGGGCGTGGGCAGGTCAGGAGCTCTCCTCCATGCTTGGCTGGCTAGTGATGGTGGGTTTAGGGGCTCAGGAGTGGGGTTGGGGGAAGCTGCTCTTGCCCTCGGTGCTCTGCTCACCCCCGGCTCTGCCCGCAGAACTCCACGCTGACCATCGAGGAGTTCCACTCCAAGCTCCAGGAGGCCACCAACTTCCCGCTGCGCCCCTTCGTCATCCCCTTCCTGAAGGTAAGCTCCCTGCGTTCCCCCAGCCCTACCCGGGGGGAACCTCCTTGGTTGCTTGCATGGCTGGGGTCACCCTGGAAGCCTTCTCATGGGGCAGGTGAGGAGCCGCAGGCCAGGGGATGCTCTGCAATGCATGGCTCGGGGCTGCACAGGGGATGCCCCGTGTCAGTGCGTTGCCTAGGGCCAGGCTGGGGAAGGAGCAGCTGGCAGAGGTTTGCAGCAGCAGGACATCAGAGCTATCCTAGATGTCACGGAGACATTGGTTGGAAGGGACCCGCAGAGGTCACATCTATTCCAACCCCTGCCCGAGGCAGGATCAACCCTATCCAAACCAGTTCAGACACCCCTCATCTGAACTCTGCATAAGAATTTACTTAGAGAACCGCCGAGCTGCCGGGGCCAGGAGGTCCCGCCATGCAAGGGCCTCGGCTGCTTTGATTGCACCGTCTTCTCCAGAGCAAGGGAGGTGCAGGGGCAGGGAGCTTTTAAGTCTCGCTGGACTTCTTGAGGCTGGGATGATGCTTGGTGGAGGGGGTGGGAAAGCATTGGCTGTGCCCACTGTCCAAGATGAGATACCCCTACCCCCAGTGCCTCTGCACAAGCTTGCACACGTGCTGTCCCACGTGTGAAAGGCACTCTCAGAGCTGTTGGTGATGAAAGGCAGGGCGAGGCCCATCTGGCAGCCATTTGCAGGGCATTCGAAACCTCCCATGTTGGCTTCCCTTGCGAGCCTGCGTCGCCACCCGGCTCTAGGGGATCCGCCGCGTGCGGGCGGCGCTGGCAAAATCCCTCTTTGCAGCTGCTGTTCGGCTGCCCAAGTCTATCATAGGAGTTGCAAAGGCAGGAAAAGCCGTTCCCCTGGCATCTGGAATATCCCCTGTCCCTGGGCCTGGGGGCTCATCTCAGCCGTTGCTGCAGCTGCAGGAGTCTGCCCAGAGCAGCCTGGCCTCAGTGTTGTTCCTCTTGTGCAGTTGCTACTGAGCACAGCAGTGAGGGGCTCAGCCTCTGAATCAGACCTTTCTAGACCTTAAATGCTGACAGCTGCAAGTGGGAGGGGAGCAGTGGAAAACCCAGGTCAGACCCAGGTCACCCTCCCTTCCAGCCTCCGCTCTCTGCCCGTGGGACACCAGCCTGGGTAGGATGGACTTGGAGTCTGACTCAGTGCAGGGCAGCTGGGAGGCACCAGTGTGACGCAGTACATGGGTTCCCAAAGCTGCCCAAGGGGTTTACACGCACATCTTCCATTGACATCATGTGTGCCAAAGTCCCCTGGTCCAAGTTTGGAAAACTCTGGTGTTGAGAGCCAGCCCTGCCATCCCAGCAGTCGAGGATAAAGCCCGTGTCCCTGGCTGCAGGTGGGTGCTGCAGGCACCCAAGCCGCCCCACAGCCCCGGGAGGCCGGTGTCTCGCTCCGCACCTCCCAGCCAGGGAAACAGAGCCTGGCTCCCAGGAGCATGCAGCCCTGGCCAGGCCAGTGGACAGCAGTGGGAAGTGGAAACCAGGGGTCCTGAGTTCTAGTACGGGGCATGACGTCACATGTCATGGGGGGCAGCGACTCTGCCCCTCCGTGCCTCAGTTTCCCTGCTTGGGAAGTGGGGAGATGAACCCAGAGCTGTTGTGCTGGGGAAGTGGAGCAGGAGGGTCCGTGCCACGTCTCTGGCTCCGTGCCCCCTGCCCGGTTCTCTCCGTCCTGTGCCCAGGGCCATGTGGGAGCGGCAGCACCTCGGACAGCTGCCGAGAGCCCAGCTGTGGGGTCCCGGCAGACTTGGTGGCCTGGGCTGAGCTCCAAGGGGCCTGCTCTTGCTGCCTCCAGTGCCCTGGCTCATCAAGGGGGGCATGGGGCACCGCCAGCTGCAGCAGGTCAGGCTGGGACTTGTGCTTCCCGAGGCTCCTTCCTCCCCGACCCAGAGGCCCCCTGCTCTTCCCGGTGCCCTCCATACCCTGGGTCCCAGCAGCCCCATCGCCTGCCGTGGAGACATGGGACAACACTCGCCTTTGTGTTTGCTTTCTTGGCACCCCGCTCCCAGCTGCTTCCACCCAGGGCTGCAGCTGCTCTTCATTAGGCTAAAAGTCTCCAGCCGGCCGCGGCGTGTTTCCCAGACTCAGGCTTCTCCTCCTTCCCCCCCACACCAAGTTATTTACTTAAATGGGGAGAGGGGGGGAAAGAGCGGGCGGGAGGGATGTTTGCTGCCCTGGAGTCTCCAGCTCTGCATTTCCTCAGCTCGCGCCCTAACATGTTCAACAGATGGCGGCTTGGCTGGCGACCAGCGGCCTAAATAGGAAAGCAGGGCTGGCAGCGAGTGCACCGGGCCTGCCGCGGCACTCGGCTGCTTCATCCTTGGACGCGCTTCCCGGGGTCGCGGCTCCATGAGAAACGCGGTGGGTGGGGGAGGTTAGCAACCCGGCCCTGCCTGTCCCGCCGGCCTGGGAGCTGGAGGGGGTGGAGGGGGGTGCTGGGGCTTCTGCCTTGCAGCTCCTGAGCACGGGGTCAGGCAAAGCCGAGCCAGAGCTGTGCGGGCAGCTGCAGCCTCCCTGGAGGAGAGGGCCCAGCCTGCACAAGCAGAGGGAGCGGCAGGCATCTGGCGTGGCAGGCGGAGGGGTGCAGGAAGCCTGGCGCCAGGGGCCTCGGAGCCAGGTCCGAGAGCCGGGTCATCCAGCTGGGCATCCAGCCGAGGGCAAGGGGATGTCTGGTACCTGTCTGGAAAGAGCTTGTGTACACACATACACGCCTATGTGCGCGAACACACACACACACAGGTACTCATCTACATGCATGCATGCACGCAGGCTTGCACACATGTGCACACATTTACTTGCAGGCATGTGCACACACATGCATACTTACAAACATGCATGGGTATGCACACACCTACATGCATGCACACATGCACACACCTACACGCATGTGCATATGCACGTGCACACAGCTACATGCATTCACACACACAGATTCACTCACCTTCATGTATGCACATACCTATGTGCATACATGCACAGGCACCCATCTACATGCATGTGTGTGCACACAAGCATGCACACACACGCACACTTACCTACATGCATGTACATGCACACACACCTATATGCATACGTGTGCACCTGCATATATCTACATGCATGTGCACATGGGTGTGCACACGCATTTACTTGCATTTACACATGTTTGTGCACAGCTGCAGCATTAGCAGTGCCAGCATGTCTCAGCAGGGCAGTCAGCGCCCTTGCATCCGGGGTTGCTTTCTCTCCCACTGGCTTCATTGTGCCCTTCCTGGAGCCACGGGGGCTGTCCCCCAACAGGTGGATTCTCCTGGCAGGGGTCCGGGGTGGAGGGGAACAGAAGGACGGGTCCTGGAGGTGTAACTCTACCTACCCTGTGCACTCACAGGCCAACCTGCCCCTGCTGCAGCGTGAGCTCCTGCACTGCGCCCGCATGGCCAAGCAGACCCCAGCCCAGTACCTGGCCCAGCACGAGCAGCTGCTGCTGGACGCCAACGCCTCGTCCCCCATTGACTCCTCTGAGCTGCTGCTGGAGGTCAACGAGACGGGCAAGAGGAGGACGCCAGACAGGTAAGGGCTGCTGATCCCAGTCGCTGCAAGCAGTGCAATGCAGCCTGCCCTGCCCGTGCAGACAGACCCTGTCCTCCAGGGGCTGGGGGTGAAGGGGCTGCATCTGGGCACTGGCTGGGCCAAGGGACATCCACGGTGATGGGTTGGGGGGTGGCACTCCCACTGCCAGCTTCTCCCAGTGATGGACACTCCCTGCTTCAGGCCAGTGCTACCCACCATGCTACCTTCTTCCCCCACCCAGAGCAGAATGCGGCCCCCCAGCCCCTAGCTGAGCCCCGGGGGGCTGAGTCCCCCTGCATGGGAGAGCACCTGGCCGAGAGGGAATGCAGCAGCTGCATTTCCCAAGACACCAGTGCAGGGAGCCCGGGGGCAGGGTCGTCCCCGCATCCAGGTGGGGCCGGCGGCACATGGACACGGTGCTTGCTGCCCAACAGCATCGCCCTCTCTCCTCCCCGGGCCAGGACCAAAGAGAACGGCGTGGACCGCAACCCCCTGCACCCCGAGCACCTCAGCAAGAGGCCGTGCACGATGAGCCCAGCCCAGCGGTACAGCCCCAGCAACGGGCTGAGCCACCAGCCCAATGGGCTGCCCCACGCCGCACCCCAGCTGCCCCAGCACTACCGCCTGGAGGACATGGCCATGGCCCACCACTACCGCGATGCCTACCGGCACCCCGACCCCCGCGAGCTCCGTGAGCGCCACCGGCAAGCGGGTGAGTGGGACGCGGCACAGCAGGGTGCGCGGCTCCACGGTCCTGCCCCCTCCCTTCCCCTGGGGATGGGGCTGAGCTTGAAGGAAGCAAATGGGGATAAGCCGGAGAAAGCTGCTGTTTCCCACGCTGCGCCCTGCAGACAGAGTCTGGGGCTTCCTCCAAGCGAGGCCGGGTGCAGCCTCAGCGGCTCGGAGGGCGTCGAGGGCATGTGCCAGGGGCCAGGGGACTCCAGCCGTGCCCCTGTTCCCAGGCTGCAGGGGCAGGAAGCATCTCTGCTCCGGGTTTGCACAGCTCAGACCCTGGCCCAGCCAGCAAGCAGAGGTGATCAGCAGAGCCCTGGAGCTCGGGGACGGGGTCCACAGCTGGCTGGGGGCTGGGGAGCAGCTGTGGCCGACGGGCATGCTTCTCTCCCAGCTGTGCATGGCGCCCGCCAGGAGGAGGTGATCGACCACCGGCTGACCGACCGGGAGTGGGCCGAGGAGTGGAAGCACCTCAACAATGTATGTACCGCGCCAGGCAGGGCCCAGGGGTCCAGGGACACTTGTGCTTGCTGCCAGGCCTGTGGGAGGGCCT